TTTTTTCCCAATGGCAAACTGTGAACAGTCAGCAAGACCAGAGGCAATGCCTTAGACCAGGGAAGTCCAGCAGTTTTGGCAAGTTTAGAAATTTTAAGTTGGAGGATCCTATCAGTTCTCTCAACCTTGTCTGATGATTGACATGATTGTATCATGGTAATTTTAAGAAGCTGGCAGGGTTTTCATTACATTCATATGATTTGCCCAGTGAAGTGGGTGTTCCAATCAATGGGGATCATGGAGAACAAACCCCAAGTGGGAAACACATTTTCTAACAGTTTCTCTGCCACATAAGCACATCAGCCTCGCAGCAGGGGAAAGCTTCAGTCCATCCAGAAAACACACGCATTCAGAACATATTGATAACTCATACTGAGTGGTAGCCAGATGAAGGCTAGCTGCAGGTATTCAAAGGGTCCAGAGGGAAAAGGTCTGAAGCCTCTGGGAACAAAAATAGTTTTTCCAAAATGATAGACCTAACAGGTCAGACATCGCTGGTTGTCAGTTTTTGCAATTTTATAGATGTCTCCTCACCAATTCATAATTTGAGTCATCTTAAATGCACTATGCATTTAAGGTGAAGGATTGCAAGCCCCACCCCCCACCCCGTGGAAATGAGATTTGCCAGAAAGCCAGGGAGAATCAAGTGGCCATCCTGGGTTTCCCAGAGCCCTGTCTGTTTAATTTACAGGCATTGTCTGTCCATCTTAATTTCTCTGCCACAGGAGCAGAGTGTTGCCATGTCACAAGAATATCAGGATGGCAAAAGTCTGGCTCCAAGGGGTCGCTTTTTGCAGAAGCAGCATGGACTTCATGCACCTGAGCCACAGTCTTTATAAACTCTACAGGAAAGTCAGCAGGGGCATCCCTTAATACTCTGGTTCAGTCCTTTCACTGTGAGCCTCAATTTTGATGACAGCAACTCAGAAGGTAAGGGAGTAATTACAAGTGATAACGTTATACCAGGACATATCAGATTTCTAGGTATTTCAAAGATTTTCTAGAACACTGACAGACCTGTACAAAGAAAACATAAAGAGGACCTAGTATCATTTCTTACTTGCCAATACTTCCCGTGTATTTTAACATTATCTAATAAGCCTGGTTAGTTGAACAAATCCTTTGAAATGTCCCAAGGACACTCTGGAAAAAAATCCCAAAGTATTTCCAGGTCCAAAAGACTTCATTTACAATTCGATTTTGATAAGTTTGTCAAAAATACCAACAAGCAAAAAAACAAAAAACAAACAAATAAAAAAACCCAACAACACTTGGTCAAATAGGACCCCAGGTCACTGAAACAACAAATTGTCTACTTAACCACTGACAGTTAAAGATTTTGCAAACACAGAAAGTTAAAAGCTGAAAAAGCAAACAAAAAAATAAAACCTTAGCTTTTCTTAACAGAGTTCAGCTTTCTTAAGGAATCAAAGACCTCATAAAGTCACGTAAAATTATCTTGACAATACCCAGAAATTTTGCTCTCCAGGCATATTACTTAAAAGGAAAACAAACAAAAAAACCTTTTACAATCTCTTATTAAAAGCAGACCAATAGTCCAAGAAAACTTTGTCCTCTTAGAAAGAAAACTAAGTTCTAATTTTGCACCAACCTACTTCTGATATTAAAATTCATTTTTAATTTCATTTTAATCTTAGCCTGCTTGACCACACATTAAAATTCCTTTTCAAAGAATCCTGTCCCACCAACTGTCTATAGCTTTCACTTCTGCAATCAGATTTTGTCCTATGCTTTTCCTCTTTAGTGTAGTAACTAGTATTTCATTATTTTATCTTATTTGGAAATGATCTAAATAATAAATTTCCGTCTTTGGGCGCCTGGGTGGCTCAGTTGGTTAAGCGACTGCCTTCCACTCAGGTCATGATCCTGGAGTCCCTGGATTGAGTCCCGCATTGGGCTCCCTGCTCGGCAGGGAGTCTGCTTCTCCCTCTGACCCTCCCGACCGTCCCCCCTCTCATGCTCTCTCTCTGTCTCTCTCAAATAAATAAATAAAATCTTTAAAAAAAATAAAAATAAAAAAAATAAATTTCCGTCTTTGATTTAACTTAACAAGACTCTAAAGTTTCGAGTTACCAAAAGTTTTGGAAAGCTATTTTTAAGTACATGTATCCTAAAATATAATTGTCTCTGAAAACTTTATGAGTATACTCTTATTCCACTTACATCTAAATCATTCGCTCCCAGAAGTATGTTTAGATTACCCATGAAAACTTCATGAGACATCAGACAAAAATCAGCCATTGCTCCAGTATTTTTGCTGGTAAATTACAAAGAATAACATGAATGCAACTGATGAGGGAACAGAAGGCAAGCTGAGGACAAAGCAGAAGCTGACACCCCACAACCCCCACCCCCCCTTGGGATATATGTGACAGGAAAAACAGTTAACTAATAGAGATCACAGTCCTGCAAGACCTGAATCTCCCTCATTTTACAAATGTTTTGCAATCTACAAGAACAAAGCAATCTATCAATAACCTAGCTTCCAGAAGGAAATGTAAATACAGATTAAATGTCCTTGTAACTTGCAGCCCATTGAGAGATACTTGAAGTGGGCAGAATGTAATGTTCCTCCCGGAAGCTCCCAACTATCTTCATGTTAATGCCTTGCTAGAGGGGAAAAACAACCTTAACTTGACAATGGCAAGGCCTCTGGTATCCCCTGAGTCTTCTTTAACATATGAAAATCCTTTTGAAACCTCCCTTTTTCCTTACCTCCCCCAACCCCGTGGTATATAATCAGCCACCCCTCACCACCCTGGGGCAGTAGCTCTTTTTGCCTATAGTCTTGTCCCTGTGCTTTAATAAATCACCATTTTGCACCAAAGACAACTGAAGGGGCGCCTGGGTGGCTCAGTCGTTAAGCATCTGCCTTCAGCTCAGGTCATGATCCCTGGGTCCTGGGATTGAGCCCTGCATCCGGCTCCCTGCTCAGCGGGAAGCCTGCTTCTACCTCTCCCACTCCCCCTGCTTGTGTTCCTGCTCTCACTATCTCTCACTGTCTCTCTGTCAAATAAATAAATGAAATCTTAAAAAACAAAAAAAAACAAAAAAACCAAAGACATCTCAAGAATTCTTTCTTGGTCATTGGCTCCAAACTCCACCCCACTGAACCTTACCTATATTCCAAAACCCATTCAGGTAATTATAATACATAATTTAATTTGCTTAACTGCACTGTATTCATTGTCGATAACTCTAAAGACATGACTATAAACCAACAAACTGAAACTAACTTTAATTTACTGAAGATTATCCCAGGACACGTGAACTTGGAAAACATTTGGGTCAGTTTCTGTGACATCTCTTAGAGTTTTTATGAATAGTTTATATAGTGCCTGTTTGTTTAAGACTATAAAAGAGAGACCTTTTACAAATTGTTGGCAATACCATCTGGAGGTAAACACATCTGCGACACATTTATAGGAACACATGAACATACAGATGAAAACTGAGACCTCATAGCTTCTGTTTTAAAATCACTGCCATGAACAAAACTCACTCATTATAAAAGTTGGATCTAAATTTGTGTTTCTGGTAGATGGAAAAAGGTACAATTACCTGCCTAGATGGTTAAAGCTTTTTCTACCAGTATTTGTGGAGAAGACACAGGACCTGCATTTGTCCTTGACAAGTCCAGTTCCAAAAGACCTTTCCCCCTTTTGTTTTCTTGATAAGATTTACTGCCTTCAAATTTGCGTTTTAAAGAGATAGCCTTGATAAGAGTCTCTGAGACCAGGTAGATCATTTACGTTTCTCTTTTTTTTTGGAAGGGCCAATTGCAGCAACCTTTAATTTTATTTTTTCCAATTAATTTACATTTCAAAGGCAAAGGAGAAAAACACAAGCCCCTCCTAGAAGGAGGTTTGTTCCAGTAAAGGCCAGAGTTTCTACAATGCTTGGGAGCCTTGTGAGATTAAACAGGGAGGTTTTGGAATTGGTAAAAAAAGAAATATTGCTGGGCTTTGAATTGTTCCTGGAGCCACGCCTCTGGTCCTGCAAGGACAGAAGTTGTAAAATCATCTTAAGGCCTTTTGCTACAGGTACCTTTGCTCTCTTGAGTTTTTCATTAGCCTTTAGCAATAAATCTTGCAATGAACTATTTTGGAATTTTGAAACCTTTTGGAGCCTGCTACGTGGCAATTAAAATAAGTATCCCATTCTGTTTGTTTGCTTTCAAGGGCACTTCTTAAATGGTCTTATTTAATGAGAATGTCCCCGACAACTGGCCATGGTAATTCCAGGTTATCTTTGGTAAAATTTTTCCATCTTGTTAGATATTGGCAACTTTCGGGACCATGGTTCTTACACATAAAATAAGCAGGTGTGCTGGAAGGATATAAAACTTCGTCCATCTTCTCACTAGGCCTTTGGGTTCCTCAGGGCCAAACTAATACCTAAAAGGGACATGCCACAGGGCTGGGGGCTGGGGGGGGTGCTTTACAGTGTACCTCATTGCACGGAAATGTTCTTGATTGGCAGGTAACCTAGTGCCTGCCTAACCCGTCCCATGACCAACTTACCCTATCACAGATTCTTGGAGAGGGTGAGTGCTCTAATAGCCTTTAAATGCTGACCTATGCCCATCAGTGTCTGCGGCTTTATTTTTGACTTCCAAGATTCCCTTTAGCAGCAAGTGGCCTTTATTTAAAGCAATCCCAGAGGCCTTGCACTGGCCTCAGTCCAGCTGAAATCAAACCCAGTCTGGTCCCGGACCCAGGCGAGTTCTTACCTCTGACCCTGTCCAGTCCTCCGGTGACCATGAGCAATTCTCAGTGTGGACTAAATCAGCAGACTTCAGGAAATGGGGAGCACAGACTAGGCCTGGAAACAGGACTAAGCCAGGAAACCCCAGTTCAAGGAGACCGCCAAATACAACTGTAGAAGGGGTTCTAACATGGAGCTGTGGACTGAACCAAGGGCTAAGGGCCGGCACTCTGCTAGAGCCTCCTGTTACTCTCGAGGGCTCTGTGAACCCTGGGCTGCAAAGCTGATTAGATCTAGAGCTCCAACACAAAAAGACCAGAGCTCAGACCAACAGGAACTCACCAACGGGCCTTGGAAATGGCAAAAAAAGACAGTGAACTCAAACCTGTTTGCAGGGCACCATGTCTCTGTTTCTCTTTGTCCCCAAGTGCTGACAGAAGTTTGCTTTGGATCCCAACGCTGCCACCAAATCTGTTAAAGAACACAAGTTCAACTGAGTGAATCTGAAGGCTTAATTACCTTTATTAAGCAATTTATGAGGCAGACAGTATCCCATCTGGCAAGTGGAGGGGAGCTCTGAGGAGGTGTACAAAATGGAAGGTTTTTATAGGAAGGAGGATGGGGCAAGAAAGTCACGTGCAAAAGAAAAGAAAGGATTGCTCAAGGCAAGGTTACCTTCCCTTAGTGGGTAAGGGCAGGAGGTCTTATTAGGTGGATGAGACCTCAGGTTCCTTTGGTGGGGGATGAAGAGGGCTCATGTGACAGATCACATCACTGAAGCAGAAAATTCTTGGCTGACCAGTTAAGACAACATTTCTGGGGAAGTCTGAAACTGCAATTAGGTTAGGGGTGAAGCCCCAGGTTGCTGACTTGTCCTAAATGACACCATGTTGGGCCTGTGTTTTTCTTTTTAACAGTTCCCAACTGGGCTAACTGTGTGGTCAAGAGGCCTAGCTGTCAGCCCCTCTTGGCGTTTGACATGCCTTCCTCTCTGAGCTTAATTACCTCTAGGTTTTGGTTGAAAAGTGAGAGAAGTGTGAGCTGTCAGAGGTCACTGAGGGTTAGGCGTAGGGCTGATTTCAACACTGCTGTGTCTCAGAGAGTAGGGTGGCTGGGGGAGAAGGAGAGAGATGGGGCAGAGCTGGGCGTTGGAACAGTCAAAACACACACAGCATTTACTGATTAAGTTTGTGGTCTTCCAGGAGCACACTTCGGGCATCCCAAAACAATTAGAATAGCAACATCAAAAATCCCTCACTACAGATCGCCATACCAAATACAGTAATAATGAAAAAGTCTGAGATATTGTGAGAATTGCCAAAATATTGTGAGACCCAAAGTGAGCAAATGCTATGGGGAAAATGGCGCCTGCAGACTTGCCTGATGCAGGGTCGCCACAAACCCCCAGTTTGTAAAAAAAAGAAACAACAAAAACACAGTATCTGCAAAGTGCAACCAGACAAGGTGTGTCTGTAAGTATCCCAGGGCCTAGTTTTTGTTAAGCACTCAATGCAAAATAGCTACTTGGGAGGCATGTTCTTATGACTCTTCTACTCCAGAATCCACACTGGCTCCCCATTGCCTGACACATCAGTTTCCATTTTAAATTCCTCACTGAGGCTGCCTGTTTGTAAATCATCACAATCTAGACCTAATCTACCCCTCAAAATGCACTTCCCCCAATCCCAAACAAACACCCTTTGATTCAAGCAATTTTGTTTTTCCCTCCTTCCTAGGATTCTGGCCTCAGCATTTTATTTATATTATTCTCCTCATTGGGTTGTTCTGGTTGCACATTTGTACTTTTTGTAGATGGTAGATGATGATAGATAGATACATAGATAGATGATAGATAGGTCACTGACAGATAAGAGACTTTAGAGTAATGCAATCTAATGACACCACATACTCATGGACTCTACTATTGAGAAAGAGACTTGTCCACTCTGGGCCTTAGTGTTTTGATCTCTAAAACTGAGCTACTACTAATAATTTTCCAGTATTTCTGAGTGGGGGAAAGAACCTATTTCAGTACCTAGAACACAGAAATGTCTCAGGTTAGTCGTCTTCGCCCTCCTCCATCACCAATCCCCAACCCTTCCCCTCTGCGGCTGCAGGCTCTGCCGGCGTCCCTAATTGCTCCAGGTCATCTGTAATTGACTCTCTCCTGACAGCCCACAGCACTTTTATCTACGCTCTCATTTACTGTCATTCTAGTCCTTCTCAATGCTTACACTTCATCTCCTCAAATCATCTTCCATTTCCCAGCAGCAAGTGCGGAGATGGGTCCTCCCACTGCCCAGGGCAGGAGGCTGAGCGCTGCACACTGCCACCTGAGCAGGGACGGAAAGGAGGGGGGACCTGTCTTCTCACTCAAGCTCCACGGCTTGTGCTTGCGGAGTCTCCGAACCAGCCGCTTACCTGGGTCTTCTCATTCATTAAATGGAATCCATCCTTATGGAACCTGTCTACTGTACACAGTTGCCGAGGCCATGAGATTTAAAAAAAAAAAAAACAAGAAGGAAGCATTTTACAAAGACGTGCATTTTGACACGACCTTCCTTCCGGGATATAGATCAGGACTACTGATAGATGGGAAGCACTGGGCCTGATCTGTATTCATGCCATTCCATCCTGGAAAGTAAGAATGATTGCGAGCCCTCCCTCCCCGTATAGGTAAGAAAACAGAAGCTTAGAGATGGTGAGTAACTTTCCAAGATCTGCAGCTAAGGAATGCAAGTTAATCCCAGGGCTGTTGGGCCTCAAAGTCTGTGACAATAGGATGCAGAAAAGGGGAGGTTTTAGGTGAAGAAAAAAATAATATTTTATATTTGGTGAGTGCTCTCACTAAGTTGCATTAATCGTCATGTCTGAACGGCTCTAAAAATATATAAGAATGCGTGACAGATAAACTGAGAGTGGAGGTGGCTTTCTAAATGTTCTAAATGCCCTCTGTGCATGAGCTTCCCACAGGTGCTAATATCAGAAACGGGCAGTGTTGCTCAGACAGGCTACCCCAGGCCATTGTGACATGAGGATTGCTGAATCGTTACGTTCCATTTAAATGCTGCTCACAGTCCAACTGCAACACTAATTTATTTTAACATGAGTGTTTCCATGTAAGGCTATTAGCTAGGTACGTATCTTAGTTGATACACTCATCCTCTCTGTAAATTATCTCCATTCTGTCTACAACCCCCATCTACCTGTGGGCGTCCCTGTTTCAGTCACTAATGGAAACTCTCCCTCTTTTACCACTTTTGACCACTTTGTGGTGGTTTGAGTGCATCCAGAAAAAAGGGAAGAAACTCCATCCAATCCAGGCGTTCCTTATAACCACTGATTTTAGTGCTTAAAATTCAGTGCTATCATGGCATAATTTACAAGAAATAGAATGTATCCCTCTTAATGGTACAGTGTGATTACTGATGAATGTGCGTCCTACTATAAGGTCATCCCAGTCAGGGCACAGAACATTTCCATCCCCCCCACCGCCCCCACCCCCGGAGGAGCCCCCCTGCCCATGAGGCTCAGTTTCCCTTGCCTCGTCCTCAGGAAGTTAGTGATTTCCAACAGGGGACGTTAGGTTTTCCTACTCTTTATAGAACTTGATATAACTGGACTCGTAAGGTATTTGTTCTACTGTGAGCGGCCTTTGCTATGGAGTGGCTCTTGCTCGGGACCCACACCTGCATTTCTGCATCCCCAGGCCTGGATGGCACCCCAGCAGGCTTCTGCTCCGTGACCGGCTGGGGCAGAGAACCTCATGCAAAATCCTCAAGGTGTTTCAAAAATATATACATATAAAAGCGGGAAGGAAGCGGGAATGACAGGTTCCTTGCAGCAGGGAACCTATCATTTCCGCTTCCTTCCCTGCAACGTCTCTCTATGTGGCAAGGAGCGCAAGGCTGTGCCCCAAAGTGCGTGGGATAAGAAGCAAAGTGAAATCAAAGTATCCCGAAAAAAACCTCAGATTAGAATCTACATGGTGGGGCGCCTGGGTGGCTCAGTTGGTTAAGCGACTGCCTTCGGCTCAGGTCATGATCCTGGAGTCCCGGGATCGAGTCCCGCATCGGGCTCCCTGCTCAGCGGGGAGTCTGCCTCTCCCTCTGACCCTCCTCCCTCTCCTGCTCTCTGTCCCTCATTGTCTCTCTCGCAAATAAATAAAATCTTAAAAAAAAAAAAAAAGAATCTACATGGTTAATTTTATTCTAATTAATATAAATCTAACACTTATCCTGGAACACAGGAAGCCAAGCTGGTGACTCACATACACGACAAAAGGCAAGTTTGTTTTTAATTACATAGAGTTTTAGAACAACAATACTACAGCTGTGAATATTTATTCACGTATTTCACACGTGTGCACACAGCCACACACCCACATACACACAGAGGATATTTTAATAACTCTGTGTCCTTATTCTCTTAAATGATTTTTTTTTTAAGATTTTTTATTTATTTATTTGAGAGAGAGAGAATGAGAGAGAGCAAGCACGGGGAGGGGGGAGGGTCAGAGGGAGAAGCAGACTCCCCGCCGAGCAGGGAGCCCGATGCGGGACTCGATCCCGGGACTCCAGGATCATGACCTGAGCCGAAGGCAGTCGCTTAACCAACTGAGCCACCCAGGCACCCTCTCTTAAGACTATATAAGGAATGAATGGTTAGGCTGCTACGTCAGATATTCTGAGTCCAGAGCCTGACTTTTACTCTCTATGGTGTCCCTCAAAACAGAGCCATCTGCCATGGGAGAGCAATAGAAAAGAAAACTTTTGATTCTGGTGCCAACTGTTTCCATTCCTAAAAGCAAGATGGCTTCACAGGAATGCCACCCAGAGCTGCTGGATGGGGCACAGGGTGCAGGCGCTCAGCTTCTCCAAATGCTTCAGACTGAGTGTCTATGTCCCCCCAAGAATCCGTGTGCCGAAAACCTGATGCCCGAGGTGATGTTAGTAGGAGCTGAGGTCTTTGGAAGCTGATCAGGTCATGAAGGCAGAGCCCTTATAAGAGAGGCTCCAGACAACCCTTTGCCTTTTCCCAAGGTGAGGACCGGCTGGGTGAGCAGTCAGCAGCCTGGCCCCTGAGCGTGGACTCCCAGCCTTCAGAGCCCTGAGAAACCAATCCCTCTCCTTCAGAAGCATCCGTCTATGGTATTTCGCGCTCACCGCCTAGATGGACTAAGATGCCAAGGTAGGAGTGACTTTTCCAGATCACACTTCCTAATTCCTAACGAATGGGAGAGTCAGCGCTGTGCGAGTCAAACCCTGTGTGCACTTTCCCACTTTGCACTTTTTCTCCAAGCCCTGCTCCCCTCCTCTGATCTCATCCAAGTGCCAGGGAAAGAAATTTCCCAAAGATACATTCCTTGATGCAGGTTTCGGGGAACTATTTTTCGTGGGGGGTGGGGGGGTGGTGGAAAACAAAACAGGATGATTGTGCATGAGCAATGGGTATTTCTCAATAAGCACACA